TAGTACGATGTGGTCTTTGCAGAGGGATTCCGGATCTGGGATTCGGATCCTCCGAGCCCTCATCGAGAGCAAACGAAGACTTGCGAGCTTGGGGCAAAGAGACGCAACATGTTTATCGAAAACTGCGTCTTCTCTCCGCCAGACCGCGTGGCGCTAAATTTTGACCCGAACGCCTCGTGGAGAGACAACTCGCGCTCCGAGTCGTCTGTTCGTTGCCCGCCCGAGAGTCGGAATCCTCCCAGAGCTTAGAGCAGAGCTCGATTCGCCGACGTTTTCTGTCGTGCTCCGACGATCGTGGTGTTCGGCTTCACGCCAGAGTTCCTGCACGCTCTCGTCGTCGGCTCGATAGAGTACCAGCTGAAGGAATGAATAGAAGAAGAACATGCCAACCGGAAGATTACGGACTGACAGACGTAGATCGCCGAGAAGGGATTAGCAGCTACCGGGGTCTTTTCTTCGACCTTCCTCGCCGCTTGTCTTGTCTCCCTCCCGTCCGCTGCGGCTGATGATGCTTCTGTTGCCGATGATGATGATTCTGCCGCAGCAAGCGACCCTGACCCCGCCCCATCGCAGAACTAGGGTCGGGCTCTATGTAATAAGGGTAATAATTCCCGAATACACCGATCTCTAAGCTTCTTGCCCGCTTCGCCCGCTGATGTGTCTGCCTGTTTGCTCCTCTGCCCGCCCCATTGCGGGCTGTCCTCCCCCGCCTGCCTGCTGGCTCTGCGAGGTGTGTGAGCTTCTGTGTGTGCGTGAGTGAGTCCCACTCGAACTCGCGTTAGCCACTCTTGGCTAATGTGGTTAGCACGGAATCAATGGTCCTTGAGAAGGAGAACTTCTCATGCACTTGCTGCTGCTGCAGTGGTAAGAGTCAGGAGAAGGACAACGACGACGACAATAGCTGGCATAAGGCCGCCAGAGACAAAGAAAAGCACCGAAGCCGTGTCTGCGAATAGAGCGAATCCTGCGTACCGTCTGCGAATTTTCCCGCGGCCCGCAACGCACGCTTTCCATCCGGGATCCGCTCACCTGTCGCTATATCCCCGGTTCGCGCAGGCGAGTTCCTCTCTCTTTTTATCGTTCCCTGGGAAATTCTCCCCGTTGCCTTATATTCTGATTTCTGCCGAAGCCCCTCCTTTTCCCTTTAGGGGACTCTCTTGATGCTACGATAAGCAAATGGTCGTTCTTTCGTCGCAGACGATTCTGTCATTCATTCATCTTCGGCACGGATGTGATTTCTGTGCCGCTTTCCCCCCTCTACCTATCGCAGAAGGGCATTCGACTTGGAGGAGTCCGTGGACAACCATGTTGGCTCCAACAAAATGTGAATATAGAGCTGAAGGATAACGATTCGCATGAAATTGTTTGAACTTTTCAGAAAATACGAGAAGACGGACGTTGCTCTCGTTCGAGAGTTCCCCACGTACTCGTGGCTTTCTCGGGGAACTACTCCGCGCGGCTTGCCGAAGCGGTGAATCGGTGGCGGCGGAAAAAACTTCGATCAGTATCAAATGTCGCGACGCCTCAAAAGAGTTCTTGGTCGGGCGATGGTGTTCTGCGCATCTCTCGCGTTCATGTATTTTCACTCCAGACAGGCTCCCGCGGCTTTGCAAAAAGAAAAGTCTCCAATAGAACGAAGAAAGAAGCTTCGGGCAAGGGTTCCGAAGACTTTAGCGAGACCATCGCCGCGCGTTTTGGCGTAATCTCTTGACCCTCCTGGCGCCGATGGACCGATTCAGCGACCATGGATGCGGGTGGGAGGCAGTGAATTCGCAAAAACTCCGTGCCTGCTCGCCATCAGAGGAGACGGGCAGGCAGGGTGGGGGAGGACGGAAGGATAACCTGAGCGGTCGCAAATTAGGTCTACGTTATCAGCGAGAGCATACTATCATCGGAGGCGGTTAGCCAAGCGCCAGACGGTGATAGCATCGGTGACCCCACTCATCCTCGTTTTTCTGTACCGTCACGGCGGCTGACAGCCATTGTTCCCTTTCTTGAAATCAGACCAACGCCATTCTCTCTCCTCCCCGTAATCACTATCCAGGATCCACTTCACCCATACGGCTAAATCTCCGATAGATTTTTCGCGGCGAGTCTCCATGTCTCAAAGAAGGAGGGAGGCCTGAACTTAATCCTCGAACATTCCTTGCGATTCGCGCTCACTTCCTCCACAACCCTCGCATCTCGGTCTTGTTGTCGCCTATTCGTCACGCGCTTCGCCTGCTGCCGCTGCCTTCTCCAAAAGTCATCGAACCTCTCTCGGAGGAGCACTCGGATGGGATACAAATTATACATGTTTGTTCTCCTGTGGGGGCAGTGCTTTGCATCCTAATTTTCAATGGTCGTAGCGCTCTCAATATGCGCATCCGCGAGCATATAGTATTTAGATGGCTTGGGAAAATTTCTTCACTCGGAAATCGCAATGCGCGTCCCGTCGCGCTGTGTTGATGCGGGATCTCTAGGACTCCGATTCAGAGGGCTCTCGAGTGTCGGGTCGCAAATTCTGGGATTCGGGGCTCGGCTCAATTCTTCGGCCGGACAAATCGGCGACGTCGGCCGTGCATCTAATTCGTCTCGTGTTCTCAGTCATCCAAACCTGCCAGGCGTATTTAGAATCTTTAGGTACGCATAGCTCAATCCTTGTCGGTCTTCCTCTCCAAAGTTTCCCAATATCATTATCTTCTTATTCTACTTCACTAGGTTCTCCTTCCGCCGAGAGCAGCCCGATGCCGACGGGAGAAGAGCTCCGCGAGCTATCAGTCAATTAAAGGTTGGGTTGGTTGGCTGACTACCTGCCCCGAGTGTGTGACCCGGTAGCAGGCGAGTGAGCGAGCGAACGATCGGCTCCAACTGAGTGTCTCGTCAAAGGCAAACAGTGAAATCGACCATTCGTCCGTTCCCTCACTGGATCACCCTCTCAGCCGCCTCTTCCAATTGTGGACGTTGAGGGGTCGAAAAGTCAACGTTTAAACGCCTTTGTTTTGAAGTGATCTGACCGACACACGCCGCCTGACGAACAGCCACTTGCCCACCAATCAAGTTCGAGATCCGCGAACTTGAAAGTTCTGCCTCTTTGAAAGTTCTACGAGAGAAAAAATCTGCCTCTTTCGGTCGAATCCCCACCACGGTCTGCGTGGGAATCGCTCGGGAATTCCATTTGATGCGAAGAGCCACGATTCTCCCGTAGAATCGGAGACCCATTGGAATTTCCTCCGCGTGGACGACGTCAATGAGAACGTGGGCCAGTTTAGTCGGAAAACGAGACTTGACGAGGATGAGAGGAAAGGACAGGGACGTGACAATCGACGGGAAAAGCGAAGCGAAAGAAAGAACAAAACAGCTAATCGAAATTCGACTGCGCCGTTGCCAACAGGTTCTTCCCACCTCTGACAACTGGATCGACATCCGATGGATATTGTTATGGTTGACGGGAAGGATCTTCGGGGAAAAACCGACCGACACAAAGGTGAGAAGCCTACAACTCGGAGAGTCAGTCAGTCAGTGTGCGAGCCTGTGAAGACGAGCGACGCAACGGCGGGAGGGAAAAGTGGAAACGGGAAAGACAAAAAGATACTGCAGTTAGAGAAAGCGGAGCGAGGAAAAGAAAACATTGAGAACAGCTGGCGAAGATGGAACCGACGTGACATCGAATCAAGACCGGCCGTCCGCTCGCTCGCTCTTTTGCTCGTTCACTCGGTCGAACACACAGCTGAAGACTCCCGGACAGGAGGCAACCGGGGGAGCATAGGAACAATAAGGAGAACAACTACATATATCGTTCCTTTTCTTCTTCTCCTTTGTTTCAGACATTACATCGGATCGATAAAAAATCAGCCGCGAGCCGCCGGGAAGAGTTGAGTAATGGAAGAGGGAGGCATCGCTCTCCTAAATTGAGCAAAGGCGAACAATATGACTCAATCTGATGGCCTTCTGAGCTCATCCTCACCACACCTGTCGTTCAAGCGTCGGCACCCGCAGTCAGATTAGAAGAAAAGGAGTTCTGGCTTCCCGCGATGTCGCAGAATTTTCCGAGGACGCGGATGGGCGCCTGCTACGGAATCGGCATCCCTCCGATCCATGAACTGCTGGATGATTGTATTTGTCAATCGCGACAGAATCTTTCAGTTCCTCGAGCCCGGCGCTCTTCTTGCAATCCTCACGAGCTCGGACTGCCGTTCTGATCCGAAAATCACCGACGGGGAGTTGCGTGGGGCCGTTTGAACAAGAGCGAAAGAGAACAGTCAGTCGCGAGAGCGCATCGGACTGTTTATTTGGGGTCTCCGAGTCGCACACCGATCCAGCCGCTCAGCTAAGATCAAAGCTGCTCCAGACAGGAATCAATGGACTCTCTCCGGGCGTTGATAATCAGAAGATTCTCATCTTAGTCAACGGCTCCAGCTTTGGACTTCTGCCGCAGCCTTGCGCGCAATCCGTTCACGGCAGAGATGAGCGCCGCGACGGCGACGGCACCGAAGACTGCAGCAGCAAATAGCCCTGAGCCATGGTCCATCGGGAAAGCTTTTTATTGGCGCCACTTTCTTCATTCGCGTCCTCATCTTGAAGAGAAAGAATCTCGCTCTTTTCCGCGGCTCGCAAGGCTTCTTTCTGGGTCAGATACACACACTCGGATCGCAGCGCCTTAAATCTTGACCGTTGTCGTCGCTATCGGAAACAACAGTCTATTCGGCGGGACCGCATCGTTCTGGGCCCACAATTCATCGAATCCTCAGTGATTTATGCGAATTAGTTCAGTGTGATTGGATTACGACGGTCATTCTCATCGGAGTGTCCCGCAAATCCCACGAGAACGCCGTCGTCCCAAGGAGAAAGATCACTGTCGATCGTCTTTCGGTACTGATGGCTGTGCTCGATACGGACTCGAAGCTTCTGTTTTCGATCGTATTGGCATTCCACGGGTTCTCCGTAAAAAATCTAAAAACTATATCGTCTTTCGAATTTCTCGAGCGTTCCTAGAAAAAATAATCTGAAGGTCAACTCACCGACATTGATGACTGGGGGAAGAGCCACCGCACGTCCAACGAGGAGTAATAGTAGACACCAGATGAAAGCGGATCTCATCGGATTCCACCGATTCCGAGTGGACAATGTTGATATACTTGTATAATGATGCGACGACGATTTCGACGTGGATGACGTAGAAGGAGGTCGGCTTCTGCTCAATTGCGTGTCTACCAGAAACAACATGATCCCCGGAAGAACAAGGGGTTCAACAGGGGTGCGTGCGTAATTGCCTTCTGTCTTCGTTCGTTTCCACTTGCTTGCCGCTTCTCCTGTTCACGGTCCTGCTGCTTGCCTGCCGCCGCCTGTATGGCGCTTCAATTTCAGCGCGCTACCGCTTCAACTACGGCTGCCTCTCGGCCTGGAACAACCGAACCAGTCTACTCTGAAGCTGGGTAGGCGAGAAGGTTCAGATAGAGAGAGGTTGAACTGGCGGTTGCTCTTTCCGGAAAGGTAAGAGAATTTGTGTTGACTGCGTGTCTGAGTGAGCGTGAATGGGTGGTGGTGTCTGTCTGCGTCGTCCGACCGACCGGCAGACAGACAGACAGCAAGACCGTCTGTCCGTCCGTCTACGACCGTGTATGGATGGATGGAATCGAACAAATGGCCTCGCGGCCGCTTCGTTCACCGTGGGCTGGCCAAAATTCTACTCGGCGGCCCGATGATCCAAGCAGGAACCATCAGGCAGCAGCGGCGGGATGACAACAACGGCAATTATGGCAATCTTCGGCAAATCCACTCTCAGGTAGGTTTCAACGAACGAACGGACAAACAAACAACTAAAAATCCAACCACTCGAGCGACCCCTAATTCAGCGACGATCGTGCGTGGCGACGGGGTCTGAGCTCGACCTCATAATCTGGTGCAAGACGAGTCCGTTGCGTGGGGCAACCGAATAAGGATCGACCAAACTCACAACATGTCCACATCACAATCCGTCGTTTGTTGTTGTCCGTACGCCTTGTCGATCCCGTTGGCGATCGCTGGTGTCCTCAGTAGATCCTCATTCTCGTCGATGCCGCGGAACGGCGTGCTGATAACGTTGAACCTCACGATTTGCCCTCGCGCACATCTGGGACTCGCTTGTAGTAGCACCTTTTGAGAGAGGAGCGAATGATCTCGTGGATTTAGTATATGTTGTTGATGTTGTTGCCCTCGTTCTTCGCTCGAGGGAAGCTTGTGCTTGAGGAGTTCGGGATAACTGATATCTCAATCCGACTGGAGGAATTACTGCATCTATCGCTGCTACGGTCCTTGTCGACAGTACACAGGTAACGGAGGTGATAATTACAGTAATTGATGTCGTGTTGTCGACCGCGCTCGAAGATCATCGACTGGAAATCTCCGACGTCAATCGCTGCAACTCTTCGACACACTGAAGATAAATGCGACCGAGAGCGGAACTGAACGCCATGCTCTCAGCTGAGGTCGAACTCCGGAGACCGCTGATGCCTTCGTCGCCTCCTCTGATTTGATGTTTTCTTGCTGATGTCGCGACGCGCACACCCTATCGGAATCGTTGTCGAAAGTCACCTTCGACAGCCTGCTCGACGAGAACAGGTGGCTCCCGCTCCGTGCTCGTTGTCGGTGGTCTACTCCCCCTTTACGGTCACAACAATTCGATAATAACGTCACACCACATCACCTTCACACCACACAAACGACGCTGATGACCATAATGATGATTGCGACGACATTGATGGCGATGATGAGCAAGGTATGGAGGCAAGGCGGCTCCTTCGAGTACCGATGCCGCTCGAGTCGGTTGGTGAGCCGATCTTACAATATGCAGCTGGGAAGTCGGTCGAGCAGGTGGTCGGTCGGTCCGTGCTCCCAAAGCGCCAGCACCTGATCAACGAACAAATGATTTTAAAACAAATCTACAGGTGAGAACGTTGCCCCTGCTGCTGCTGCTGCGTCGTCGTCGACATGATTTCCACCGTGGACCTTGTCATGGTAAAGTTAAATTTTGCTCCGCTCGTGATAATGGTCGAACTTTTTATGTCATCATCATCACCGCCACCGTAAATCATGACGATCACCGTCATTGTTCTCACGAAACGCATCGATTTTTGATGCTAGACCTGCAGTGACGTCGACGACGTGGAATTCCGCGTTGAGCCCGGTCCGAAGTCACCATTTCCTCTCCGGGATCCGACTCGCACTCGGCTTTGAATCTGTCAGCGACGGTCGCACACAAGTAGAACAAGTCACGCACAAGTTGAAAAATGACGAACAACACAACAAGGGAGAGCGGAAGAATATGAAACCGAGAACCGCGGCTCGCTCGCCTCAAGTGTCGCCGGCCCGCGCGCGCTCCCTTCCGAGCTCGGCGCTAGAATGAACAAATGACGGTTCACAGTGACGGAGATTCTTCTCAGTGAAAGTAAACGAGAGGAGATGAGATATGTGGGCGTGGATCTTCTCAACGATGTCTCACTCTTTTGCACTTCGACTCGGCGTCGAAACCCAGGCGAATCCTGATGCTGATGGGTTCGAGCCCTTGATCATTTTTCGCCCGTCTCCTCCTCGTCTTCTCGTTGGAGGATTCGCTGTGGGCTCCCCGGCTATTGAGGTCGTCTGGAAGAACTCTCCTCCAGGCGGGAATCACAGCTAAAGCTACTGGTATTTCCCGATTTGTTGTCGAATTGTTGCTTACGTCCTGAGCTATCACTGTGGAGGGGACAGCAACATCCCACGGCGGGATACGTTCCGAGGGCTCGTTCCGAAGTGCGCGGATCGAACGACGTATTTCCCCCTGTGCTGCGGCGGCCGTCGTCTTTGCCGCTGTCGTTGTTGTTGCGTGGTTGCTGCTGTCACTGCGATGTCGGCGGCTGCCGCTGCTGTATTCGGCTCTGGTACTGCTCCGTTTCGTGTGTTTCTGCAGCGGTTGCTCGTGTTGTTTTTTCCGTGCCGTTGTACATCCAGCCGGCTTCAATGACTACCCGCTACAACGAAGGAGTACAGTGTCGACGAAAATGCAGCCCAGCACAAACTGCTACTGCTTGCTTCCTCTGCTGCTGATGCTGCGGCTGCCACTGCTCTGCTGCATCACTTGTGAAGAGTCTGCTGGGGAAGAAACGTGGGGCCGGTGCGCTCTGGCCGTGGCTACGACATCGCCTGATGGTCTGAGAGGGCCAGGATGAACGGAGCTTGGAAGCGCCCTCTAACAGGGCCCGCTATAACGAAGGCCCTTCCCACCTCCCGCATCCACTGCGCATGCTCGACTCGAGCCAGGGCCCTTATCACGAGACGGCGGCGGCGGAGGCGGCGGCGGTGACGACGACGACCAAATAACCTACCTATCTACCGAGCGACCGTCCGACTGACTGACCGAGCGAGCGAGCAAGCGCGCGACTGACCGACCAACGACGGGCCGACCGTCCCGCTGAGCGAATAACGGATCCCAGGCCACCAACGGGCGCGGCTTTCGACCCTTGGCCCGGATTCCGGCGCGGAGACGCGCATTTCACCGTTTTGGGACGCCACTCCGGAGATATGTTCCCCGTCGAAGTCTCATTGTGCAGATGGAGATTCTTCTGGAGTTCGATCGCCGTCGCTCTCTTCCTCGATTTCCGTTTGTGGTTATGTCCTGCGTTCTGAAAGAGCGCGACTCGCTTCTCCCTCAAGATTCTGTTCAGAAAGCAGATCGCTGTCGTTGAGTATAGAACATCTTTTGCGTGGATGAGATCGATGCCAGACTTCGGAACCGAAGACGCGGGTAGCATCGTGATTTTCCTTCCCTTCTTCGTCACCTCGGGAATCGGAACATCGACGGGGTCGGAGACTGTCGCAGCAGCAGAACTTAGCATGTGTGCTGGGGGGTACGAAACCTTAAATCAGGATTTACTTGGTTCTCGCTCTGCAGCTTGTCAGCTTCATTTTCATGAGAAATAGAAAGACGTCAAAAACAACGTCTGCTCATTCGAAAATGCCCCAGAACAGGATCCTGGCGGCTTTGTTTCGGCGACGGCGGCCGACGTTGGGAGCGGCGGCGGCGGCAGCGAAGGAGGACGAATGGGGCCGACAACAGAGGAAATAAGAACTGGAAGAATTCTTGATCCGCCAGAATGAGGGAGATTCGACTCGACGTGAGATCAGCTGCGTATCCTCTTGGGACTGGTTGAATTCTCCCCTCCCTGAAGCATCGTCCTCTTCGGATTCTCCGCGGACAGTGGACCGGCGGGTTAGGCTATCGCATTTCTCGTTTCCCACGAATCGATCCGAGCAATCGCGATTGCGGGACAGGTCCGTCGTTAATGTAGCGAACAGTAGCCACACGTCGATAGATTCATCGACGTGCAACAATCGGATCATCTCCCACCGTTCATCTAGCCCACCGTCCAACGTTTAAATGAGTGTTGTACCAAACCGCGAGCGATGATCGCTCGCTTCAATCAAAATCACGTTGGTCCTTAGCGCTCGGTTGAGGACGAGCGCTCAATTCTCGGGAGCGGAATATGGAAAACCGGGATCGATTATTTATCGAGGCATTCCGGATTATTGGGGCGCACACGTTCCGCTCGTGTCGGCCCAGCTATAGCTTCTCCAATAATTGATACAAAACCTCCGGGTTCAACTCCAGGCATTCGCCGACTCAATCAATTAGCGACCCGCATGCGATGCGCGACCTTGGGAATATATTCGACGCTGTGTACAAGTCGTCGTCTCTTAGACCCACGGAGGGCATTTTTCACTAGGAGAGTCAGTGTGTATCAAACTCGAGATCGTCGTCGTTGCACTAATTGCGAAGCGTCGTTGCATTAATTGCATTACGACATGGCGACGGGGGTTCGTCAAAAAATTATAGACATCGTCAACAAAACTTCGCGTCGCCTGCTCTATTTAAAATGGGAGAGCCACGAGAGAGGGAGTAGGCACCACCGGGCGCGTCGTCTTGGATTGTGACGACTTTTTTTTCAGAGCGTTCATAAACTCTAGAAAATCACCTCTCCGAGGCATCTCGGTTCCAGTTGATAAGCTGTGTCAGGCGTCCAATCATCCTTGTCTCGTGAGAGGATTAAGTGGGTGAGCCAGAGGATGGTGGAAGGACAGCTGACGTGACTAGTAGGTGATCATGGACAGGTGTCATCTGAACAGTTGAGCTAGCTATTCTCGTCGACGTCTCTTGTCTGCGTCCATAAAGGCTCAATTCGTCATAGCGTCGGCGTGCCGACGCTCCTTCG